CATTTTACATCTACTTTTTTTTTTATTTTGCTGCTTTGGCAGGGTGAGTTCTATTATTTTATCTCCCAAATCACTTATTCCTCTGCTTTATCCAGTCTCTTATTGGACCCCCTCTGTTGAATTTTTTTGTTCTATTATTGTATTATTCTTCAACTCTTTGACTTTTGTTTGAAGGCTTCTTAATTTTTCTAGCTCTTCCATTCTTTTCCTGAGATCTATGAACATCTTTATAACCATTTCTTTGAATTCTTCCTCAGGTAGTATGATTATCTCCACTTCTTTAGGGTCTTTTTCCAGATTTTTTTTTGATTTTTCATTTTCCCCATTTTCCCTGATTCTCTGTGTCTGCCTCTATATTTTAGGCAATAGTATTATTTCTTTTAGTACTGAAGGTTTAATCTTGTACTGGTGATGTTGAGTGTTTTTCTGGAGCATCATTCATCCTGGTTTCCCAAGATGGTTGTAGGAGTTGTGTCCCCTTTGTGGACTCTCCTCGCTTGCATGTTGTCAGGGCAGCCTTGTGTGTTTGGCCTTCAGTCCTACCAGATAGTGGAACTTTGTTGGTTTAGACTCAGTGCTGGACTAAGGTGTACTCAGTGGATCCAGTCTCGCTGTGGATGCCTGAGATTGCTGTTTGATGTCCGTGGTGTATCTTGCCTGTCCAGTGGTGGTATGTGGTACAAGTAGCAGAGGGTGATGTCCTAAAGGTGGCGGTTGCTAGAAGCATGGTCTGCAACTAACTGGCTAGATTTTAGGAGGTACCCTAAAGAAGCAGGGCTGCTGGTATACCTGCCCTGGAGCTTTGTTCCTGGGGCTCTACTGGTGAGGCTTGGGTCAAGAGACAAGCCTAGTGCCAGTGACTGAGGCTGCTCAAATAGGACACTATTGTTGACTTTTAGAGCTGGGTACTCCAACCTGTTTGCATTGGTTCTGGCCACTGGAGCCCACTGCACTGATGGAGGGGTTGGGTGACAGCCCTTTGAGGTGAAAGCACAGGTATGGGGGGCGGTGACCTGACTTGTGCCACTGACAGGGTGGCTGGCATCTGCCCCACCAACAGCTCTACAGTTGGAGGCATGGCTGCTGGGGTCTTCCTGGGGGATATGTATTTTGTCATTTTAAGGACTATCATTCCACTCCAGATTTAAAATTTTAGAAATATATTCTTTCATTCCAGATAGATGGAGAAGCATTGTATTATCTCATTTAATCCTTATAATGATCATGTGAAGTAAATGCTACTATCATACCTCATTAACTAATGAATAATTCAAGGGAAAGAGCAGTTAAGTAACTTTCTCAGGATCATACAGCTAAGTGTGTGCTGAGTGTAACAACTTGCTCAGGATCATACAGCTAAGTGTGTGCTGAGTGTAGCAATGTTGAAATGTGAGTCAAGACATTTAACTGCATAGCAGCAGGGGTTGAATTTTATTCCAGGGTTGGATTCATTTCTCTTTATCAGCAGATGTCTCATGCTAGCATTCATGTGGTCCCAAAAAGGCCCTAATGAGTCATTTGTATAGACTACTTGCAGTTGTTTTTGTCCCAATGAGTCTGGGGTGTATACCTGCCTTAGATGTGTTACTTCTACCCCATAATGAAAGATATTCTGCCTGGGTAAAGAGAATTTCTGAGTCTTCACAGAAAAGTCACTATGTTCCAAGATATTTCTGTGTTGGACATAATTTTTAAGAAATCCAATTCTTGTTAGAACAGTGCTTACCCAAAGCAATTTGCCTTGTACACTGTATCAATTTTCAGATATGTAACTCCATTTATTTCCTAGCATTCTGTCTCTTCAGAACTGTCTCTATTTTCCACAGTCATCTCAGACCTGGAAATAAAATGGAATGAATACAAATTTTTGACCCTGATGAGGTATAAATGCCTATATGCAAAGAGCTAAACTCTGGGTCAAATCCCTCTCACATTTTCTTTTCTGTGATTCTTCAGGTACAAGAGTTAGAATGAGACAAAAAACCAAGCATCATGAGAAATCATTGGTATAGAGATAATGGTTGGTTGTACAATGTATTTCTTTTGATAAAGAGTAAGAAATAGATGTACTATCAGGAAACCAGTAATGGTCACATGTGTTTGTCTCTGGGGAGTGGGCCTGGGTATGGGGAAGGGTGATTATAAAATTACTGCTTTCTAGGGCCTCCCCGGTGGCGCAGCAGTTGAGCGCTGGGTTGTGAAGCTGCCTGCAGCCTCTGCAGCACTGGTTCGATCCCCGGCCACCAGGCAAGGGTCCCACATGGCGCGCAGACCTCTCCTGTCACCTGCTGCTCCCCTCAGCAATGTACTACTCTGCCTGTTCTACTCTCCGCTCTGGCTCTGGTGAATTCTCTCACCCTCCCATACTTCTGACTGTACCCAGTGCTTGTATAAATAAATAAATCTTTTAAAAAAATTACTGCTTTCTAATATACACTCTTTCCTATAATAATAATATATGCATATATATTTTATCATGAGACATATTACTTTGACCAACTAAAAACATATCTTAGTTGGGTTTCCCACCTCCTCTACTCACCCCTGAATTTCACTGCAGTATTGTGAATGCTTTCTACAAGTTCTTTCTTACTTTGCTTCTGCTGATAGCATCTTGCCCCAAGCTTAGATTTTTTTTTCCCTTTTTTCCTCAAAGGCCTTCTTCACAGTTGTGGGAGCCCTCTTGATCCATGCACAGGAGCAACTGGAAAGTGAAGATGCACATAGATTCCTGTGCACAACCTCTAAAAAAGGATGGGATTCATATGGAACTACAAAATATCTTGAATAGCCAAAGCTCTCCTGACTAAAAAGGAGATGGAGGTATCACACTCCCTGATTTCAAACTATACTACAAAGCCATAATAATTAAAACAGTATGGTACTGGGACAAAAACAGACACAAAGACCAACTGAATTGATTAGAAAACCCAGAAATAAACCCACATATTTATGGGCAACTAACTTTGACAAAGGGGCAAAGAATATGCAATGGAACAAGGACAGTTTGTTCAATAAATGGTGCTGGGAAAACTGGACTACTACTTGTAAAAGAATGAAACTAGACTACTACCTCATACCATGGACAAAAACCAACTGAAAATGGAAAAAAGACCTGAATGTAAGACCTTCAACCATAAAATATATAGAAAAAATATAGGCAAAAAATTTTATGACATACATTTTAGTAAAAACAGCTGGGATTACATCAAACTAAAAAGCTTCTGTACAGAAAAAGGGGTACTAACCAAAACAAAGGGACACCTTGCTGATTGGGAGAAAATTTTTGCACACAATACAACTGATAGGGGACTGGTCACAAAAGTCTACAAAGAACTCACACAACTCAACAAAAACAAGGTAAACAATCCAGTCAAAAAATGGGCAGAAGAACTAAAAAGACACTTCTCCAGAGAGGAAATGCAAATGGCCAACATGTATATGAAAAAATGTTCAACATCACTTGTCATCAGGGAAATGCAAAGCAAAACCACACTGAAATACCACCTTACACCAGTGAGAATGGCACACATTAAAAAAGCTGGAAATAACAAATGTTGGCAAGGATGCGGCAAAAAAAAAGGAACTCTTCTACACTGCTGGTGGGAATCCAAACTGGTCCAACCACTATGGAAAGCTGTGTGGAAGTTCCTCAAACTACTAAAAATGGAGCTACCATATGACCCAGCAATTCCCCTCCTATGAATCTACCCAAAGGACACAAAAACATTAATTCAAAAAGATACCTGCACCCCTATGTGTATTGCAGCACTATTCACAATAGGTAAGCTATGGAAACAACCAAAATGCCTCAAAATAGATGAATGGATCAAGAAGATGTGGTATATATACCATGGAATACTATTCTGCAATTAAGAAAGATAAACTCATGCCATTCACAGCAACATGGAGAGAGCTTGAAGGGATCATACTCAGTGAAATAAGCCAGAAGGAAAAAGAAAAATATTGAATGGTTTCACTTATAGGAGGAATATAGGGGGAAAAATGATAATAAAACAACAAAACCAGCAGGCAACTATAAATAAGAGACATTCTGTGAGGGAGGGGGAGAAAAAGGGATCAAAAACAAGGGAGAAAAGAGTGCAAGGGAGACTATGGTGATGGTTTGCAGGTGAACTGGTAGTAGGAATTTTACTAGTAATACACAATGATGTAAAAGATCATTAAAAAATAAAAATAAATAAATTATATAAAAAAAGGATGGGATGGAAATATGTGTATCTAACCTCAGCCTCCTTCTCTTTGGGCTGGTAATTTGGGAAGGAATCTGAACACTTGCCAGGGGACCCCAACAGAATTGAACTCCTGTTGCTCAGTAACATACTCTTTTTTTTTTTCAGTGGAAAATGTGCATTTTTATTCTTTTTTAAAATTTATTTAAATTTTATTTTTACATCCCCCATACAATTATAACCCCCTTATTTTGATCCCAACCCCTCCTTTCCCCGCCCCCCATCCCCCATAGTGTCTCTGGTTCATAGTTGTTTGTTGATTTTGATATTTTCTTTTAGTTATTCTTTTTCCTGGTCCTTTATTTAAGTTTTCTAGATTTCTGCTATGAGTGAGACCATCCGGTATTTTTCTTTTTCTTTCTGGCTTATTTCGCTGAGCATGATCCCTTCTAGCTCCATCCATGTTGCTGCAAAAAAATACTCTTAAAATATACTCTCTCTCTCTCTCTCTCTCTCTCTCTCTCTCTCTCTCTCTCTCCCGCCCTCCCATTCCTGCACCCAGGGACTACCTTCCAAGTAAACTCCTCACATCAGTACTGCTTTCAGTAAAACCAAAGTATGACAGGTTGTCATGTGAAAACTAGGAATCTTGAACGAAATTTGCATTCTGAGGTCTCTGGACCCTACTTTCTGCAATACAGTTGAACTGCCCAATTGGCCCTGGGAGCTGCTGCTGCTTGTGCCTGAAATCATACATCATAATGATTCCACTGCAATGATTCAGTTATAGAGATGTACCATGGGGGAGTTCATGGTTGGGGGTGGAGGTAAGAAATGCCATAAGGAGGACTATAAGTGACTTTCTGGCCAGCCAAAGAAATGTCATAGAAGAAGAAAGAAGGAAGATACAAATGAGAAGAGAAAAGAAGTTGGCATCTCAGAGAGAAGCAGAAAACCAGTCTCTCCCTTTCCTTCTGTCAAGAAGGCTAAGAGGTGTGAGCAGCAGATTGCAAAATAATCCAGGGAGCCGAGGACATTGCCAACTTGCTATAGATGTTGGAACTGTCTCTTGATTTTGGGAGGCTAACAACTAAAGGCTTGAGAAAATGACCAAATCGAGACATTGCTTTCTTCTGCCATGTGATTGGGGGAAAGGATAGGCACCTACAGGCGTTTTGGCAGGTTTTAGAATTCTGCCCTCAGGGTGCTTGCTAGATTTCCAGTTTCTAGTTTGGCTCCTACCTGGCTATGGACGACTTCAGGCTCCTGTTATCCTTGTGATACTACACCACCCCCTTTTCTGTATGCTTACATGGGCTGCTGCTTGTTATCTATAGACAAGATCCTCAATGTTTTGATTTCCTCCCCACCAGACCCAGGGGTACTTTGGGGTTCCCCATCTCATTCATGTATTGTTGTTTGGTCCTATATATGTGGTTTAAGCTATTTCCTTCCTCAGTCAGATCTTGTGGGGGAAGGGCTCTACTTGTTTTTGTTTTCCAGCTAATTAAATTTTCTTATTTGTTTCCCTCCACAACCTCTCAGATACCTCTCAGTACATCTAGAAGACCATGCGTGAAGTTAGTTAAGAGCAACAGCAATAACGATCTCCAAGTCATTGACTAAACCACCAATAGGAGGCAAGCTGTGAGTCATTCTAATAAATTTTGTGTCTACCTTAGAGGGAAGGGCAGCAAGATGGGATTCTTAAGATCTGCTTGACCTTTGGGTATCCACAGCCAATATGAGACTTCATGCTTCTCCCAATCTGCTTCCTGTTCTCCTTGTTGAAGGGAGGTCTTACTGGAGAGCTCCCTTGTTTAAGGGTTGCCTCCTGACTCCTCATAGATGCATCTCTAAAAAGCAGGATCTCTAAAGTCAGCTCATGCTCTTGAGCTAGATTTTCATAAACAGGATGAGTTGAAATGCGTTCTGCTTTTTCCAGGCCTTAAAAGGCAAATAACTTGCTCATATTTCTAAATTCTGTCCTGAAAACCTGATCTGTGAAGCAGCAACATGTTTTTATGCTTCATAACAACAAATAATACACCTCCAATGAGTTCAGAATGTTTTTTCTATTAATGGTGAAATTTTAATATAAAAGCAATACATGCTTTAAAAAAATTAAAGTAGTACTTATTAAAAAAGAATTAAACCAGCACTGACAAGAAGGAACATTCTCTAACAGTTAAGGAGATACTGGACAAAACTGCCTGGATCAGAATCTTAGTTGCAACCCTCACAGGCTATCAGTATGTGACCTTGGGCTCCCTGAGACTCCTGTTCCTGATCAGAAACAGGAGCAGTAATAGCATACTAGCCTCAGGGGGTGTCATGAGGATTAAATGAGTTAATATTCATAAATAACATGAAAAAGTGTCTGGCACATTGAAAGCCTCATAAACATTTAGTATATGAAATAAAATATTCTCAACTTTTCCTATATTTCCATGTTCATATGAGAATATTAACAATTTAATCTTCTGTTTATATCAGTAGGCTTATAATATATAAATTGATCTGTTTCACTACCCCTTTGAAAATATATTAGACAACTTTATTATCTCTATTTAGAGCTAACTTCATTTTCTTAATGACTGCTTATTTACATATAGCAGTTGTATGAGTATATAAAAATTTTTTATTCAGTCCTCTAAAGATGGATTTATGTTCTTTTAATGTTTTCATTATAAACAGTGCTATAATTTATAGGTATGTACCAATATTTCTGTGCACTTAAGCAAGTGAATTTTACTTTTATTTCGTTTGGTAGGGATTGCAAAACTGCCCTCCAAAAAGCTTTACCAATTTGTACTTGATTTGAACTCTTTCAATCCCCTGGCAGTGCAAGGAGTTAAGACACAACCTATGAAGGTATCCGCAGCTGCGGCAGGAGTTTGATCCCTGGCCAGGTTGCTACCCACATGGTGCAGCAGAACTCTGCTGTCTTGCCTTCTGTTCCCCTCAACAGTGTATTTCAGTCAGTCTACCTGTTCTGTTCCCCACCCTGTCTCTGGTTAATCCTCTCACCCCCCACACATCTGGCCTGTACCCCAGTTCTTGTATGCATAAATAAATAAATCTTAAAAAATAAAATATGATCACAAAAATCTGCAAAGAGCTGATGAAACTCAACAACAACAAAGAAAATAACCCAGTCAAAAAATGGGCAGAAGAGCTAAAAAGAAACTTCTCTGAAGAGGAAATGCAAATGGCCAACAGACATATGAAAAAATGTTCAACATCACTTGTCATCAGGGAAATGCAAATCAAAACTACCATGAGATACCATCTTACACCAGTGAGAATGGCACATATTAAAAAAACTAGCAACAACAAATGTTGGCGAGGGTGTGGAGAAAAAGGAACTCTCCTGCACTGTTGGTGGGAATGCAAACTGGTCCAACCACTATGGAGAGCTGTGTGGAGATTTCTGGACCTACTAAACATAGAGCTTCCATATGATCCAGCAATTCCACTCCTAGGTATTTACCCAAAGGACATAGAAACATCAATTCCAAAGAGCACCTGCACCCCTATGTTTATAGCAGCACTATTTACAATAGCTAAGCTTTGGAAACAGCCCAAATGCCCAAAAATAGATGACTGGATCAAGAAGATGTGGTACATATATACCATGGAATATTACTCAGCATTCAAAAAAGATAAACACATGCAATTTGCAGCAACATGGATGGCGCTGGAAGGGATCATGCTCAGCGAAATAAGCCAAAAAGAAAAAGAAAAATACCGGATGGTCTCACTCATAGCAGGAATCTAGAAAACTTAAATAAGGGATCAGGAAAATGAATAACTATAAGAAAGTGAAAATCAAAATCAACAAAAAACTATGAACCAGAGACACTTTTTGGGGGGTGGGGGCCGGGAGGGGAGGGATTGGGGTCAGAATGGGGCATGTGCAGTTGTATGGGGGAATATAAAAATAAAATTTATTATTTAATAAAAAAAAATATGATCACAACACTAAACAGTGAGTCTTGGTTGATGGGAATAAATGTGGAGTGCAGAGAAACATGTCCATGTCAATGTTGGGTAGAATGCTCAGAAGTACATGGATTGATATACATTTAGGCCTTATGTTTTCAAACAGTAACTTACCTTAAGTCTCAGTCCAGATTTAAGAAACTATAGTGATAATGCTAAGTGAAATAAGTCAGAAAATTAAAGATAGATTTTGGATGATTTTACTTATCTTTGGAACATAAATAACCATAAAAAAGATAAATTGGCAAAATATAGTGAAAACAAATCTTGGACCTTGTGAAAAAATTTACTGGTCACTAGAGGGAATGGAGGGGTGGGAGGAGAATATGGGGAAGGTAGGGCATTGGCATGAGTAACCATTGTGGAGGGTGAGTGGAACATGTGCACATATGGGGGAGTAAAAATGTAACTCTTGAATTAGAATAACAATAAAAAAGTTAATTAAGCTATCAAAACAAAAAAAGAAAAAAAATATGGAACACCATTAGCACCAGTGTTCCTCTCCCTTAACTCTGGAAAATTCAGATTCATCAAGCGTGCCTGTAACATTGGAGACATAGAAGACTACATTGGAATATAAGTGTGTCTTTAGCTTCAGTACTAATAGATAAGCCATGTATCCAATATGGAGAAAGGGAGTCTTTATCTAGCTATACTTCAGAGGAGATTGTAAAATGTGTTTAAAGAAAATGGATGTGGGAATTCCCCTAGAATAGTGGTGTGAGGCAAGGAAGGCAGAACGACTGGAGGCCCAGGAGCATCTGGCCTCTGACTCTGATCTGGGCTGGGCGCTCACCTCTCTTCATCCAAGGGTCTTGTCTTCCTTTCCCTTCAGACTTCTTCTATGTTTTTCTCATGGATGCTAGCAAGATTTAAGATTAGAGCTCTGAATGTTCGTTATACAGAACTTGAAAAAGCTTTACTGCTGTAGAATTTCTGAATCAGGGAAAAATGTGTCTAATTGGAGCAGTTCATTGCGCACTTATTTAATCTCCAAAATACATAAATTAGGTTTAAATACTTGAATACTGAACAGATACAAAAAAGAAGGTAAATATTGCTCCTAAGCTCTATATTTACATATTATATATAATTAAAAGTGAAACATCTACTTTGACCACTTTTTTCTTTCTCCCTTTAACTTCAATGGCTGTTAATAATTGAAGGTGATCTTGGAATTTTTAAGCTTTAAAGTACTTCGTATTAAAGAGAAAAATTAAGCCTGTGTGTTTTCACACTGAGCAGCCAGCAGCTCATCTAATGTTCTAACACCTTCAAGAGGTGAAGGAGAGGAACAAGAAAGGAGAGAGATATGGGAGGCAGTGGGAGAGGGAAGGTAGCGCAGGCGAGGGCTAGAAATGCCAGCCCCCCACCCCCAAGTCAGACAGCATCTTGTTTATTTCGTTTTGCTCCTTATTCATGGTTGTGTTCCCCAGTCATTAGCTCTCAGTGCATTCTGGGGAAGATTTCTGACTAATAAAGATAATGAATGTGATAATAACCACCTCAGGAATAATTTCTTGAGCATTTATTCTATGCCAAGTATCAAAAATGTGTCTTCTAATTCCCACAACAATCCTATTATTATCTCCACTTTGTAGATGAGGAAACCGAGGTCAGAAAAGGGAAGTACAGCCCAAGGTTACCCTGGAGTTCAGAACTCCAGCCCACACAGCTGGACTATAGGGCACACGTTCCTCCCACCATGTTGTAAACCCTAGACACAGTTAGGCTCGCACTGCTTATTCTGCAGAAAAGAATTTTCCACAGCTATGTTGGAAACCATGGGGAAACAACATTGTAAATAGCTTCAGAAATCACCCCCACTCCCAATATAAATTGGCGAGGTCTCCTATATGCCCTTTCCTCCTGGTAGGGGATTTCTAGAAGATGGGAAGAGTTCTTACCCATACTTAGACTGATCAGCATTGTAGACTCTGTGGCTTAAAAATAATAGACCAGGAAGACTTCCAAAATGATGTGTTAGGAAGAAAGAATATACCAGACAGAGGGCAGGGGCATCAATAAAGGAAGCTAGTGGGTGACTCAGGCGTGGTCAGGCTTCAGAACAATGCCCTAGAAGTTGGCATCTGGGAGTTAAATCAAAGGTTTGGGCAATCAGGAAATAATAAAACCCAAGTGTTACTGACATTTTTTTTTGGTAGTGATGAACATTCCAGCAGGGAATGTTGAAATTGAACCAACAAGTCCATCTGGGAGACTCCAAGAGATTGGGAAGCAGCGTTTGCAATGTGCCCCTTGGGTGAATGTAAACTCAGGGGGAGCAGATTTCTTTACAGATTGTTGTGGAATAATGGGAAAAGGAAGTAATTTAGCTTGTATGTGGAGTCAATGAGTTGATAGGAAGGTAAGAAATGAGGCTTAGTAGTGCAGCCTTTCGGGGCAATGACTCTCTCTGGGGTGATGTTCCCTTCCTGTGCCTCTGACACTTGCTGCCACTTCCCAGCCTTGGCTCTGTGGGCTGGCCCCAGAGGCCAGTTTGCCAGGCCTAAATGAAAGGCACAGCTGCTCACTAGGCTGATGGAATCACAGACATGTTGCTCAGGAGAAAATAATCCCCAAGAGACCTGAGAAGTCAAACTGAATTAGGGAAACATGGAAATAATATTGACAGTAAGCAC